AACCCGGCAGGACCCCAGCTGCTCTGCCGCAGGGGTCCCCAAGTCAGCCGCTGCTGAAACAGAGCAGCAGCTGAATGGGGGAAGTCTGTCTGGCTGTCCCAGCACTTCCGGGTTCCTGATGGTGCTGGACCATCAGGAGTCCCGGAGCATTGGATGCCGGACTAATGGAGTTTTACTGTATATCATTTCTGTGTTTGGTATCTGCCTGTTCCCCCATCCCATAAGAAGGCCCCTGTAGCAAGTCTAACAGTCATTTGTACAGTATTGGTACTGTGCCTAGCATACTGAGGCCCTGATCATGCTTGGAATTTGTAGGAACCACTGTAGTAAACTAAAATAGTAAATGTACACCAGTAGAATATGCATAGGCCTACCAAGGATTAGATAAAAAAGGAAAGTAATTGAAAAAATCGTCATTGTACCGTATTTCTTTTCCTATACTATGAATTTCTAAGAATCAGTTGGAAATTGAAATATGAATCAATGTTTCAAAAACAATAAAAATAATATCTTTCGGGTATCTACACAAAACTCACTGACTTAGAGCAATTGCTTGAACTTCCATTTAAACATCCTCATATTTGAAGTATTTATGTCAAATGATCATGAAATGTATACACAATTTAGTATGAAGTACATACAAAATGTGACAATTGGTTTGAACTGATTTAAAATCATGAAATTAAACTACTTAGTATACTCACTAAAGTAGAGTTGAGAAGTCTTTGTGATGGAACTTAGTGCAATGTGCCTTAGTTTCAAGCCTTTAAAGATTCAGTTAGTAAGGAATTTGAAAAATAAGTTTTGTAGATTTTTAATACTTTATACACATATAAATTGTGCCTACTTTATTTCAGCAGACAGAATATCTTTAATCCATATATTTTATGGGGAAAATTTCCATGTAAAAATAATTTCATTTTTCTCTTTTATTGATAATGTAGTATCTATCTTGAATGTAAATGACAAAACAAATTTAAAAAGTTAAAAAATATTTTTAAAGCTTAAAATATGGCGCATACACTTATTATGTGCAAAAATGTTAAAGGGCTGACTAGTATCTGTCTTTATCATGCAAATGACTAAATTAGAAATCCTCAGACTCACCTGTTTGACTTCTGTAATAACCAGAGCAACTCAGATTTTGACTGTTGTAACAAAGATGCTCTTACGGGAAATGTTACAGGTTGAGTAAGTGCTCCACATATCTCAGCCATCTCTTTCACCATTGCCCAACTGTATCCTATTGAAAAGATCATTTGATATGGTATTATGAAACTCTCCAAATTCCTGTCAGATTATAAAGTTTTCATGATTCATAAAATAATTAGGTTTAACAATATACCCCACTGTTCCATACTGTCAATATGTGGATTTCGTAACATCAACCATTTAAAAAAAAAAAAAACTCTTTGAAAAAAGAAGAAAAAGGTCATTCTAAGACTTTTAGACTAAAAAAAACCCAATAGAAATGTAGACTAAAAAACAACTGATATTAAGTTATACAGATATGAGTTGACAACAATTGTTAGGGCTTGGAGAAAGTATATTTAAAAGAAAGCAATTTAACACTTAAAATTGCTTGTTTTTAACATCTATTTTTGCAAGCTTCAAAGCTAGTAAAATTGTTTTTTTGTTTGTTCATTAAGTTCTATATGCAATAGAAAATCTTCCCTGAAGCTACTAGGGTAATATTTTTCTGCGTGGTTAATTAATCACAGCATGATGAATACAATGAATACCAACTGATTTAAAAAAAAAAATTAGATAAAGCTGTGTGTGTGTGTGATACACACACGCACACGCACACACACACACACACACCCCTATACCCTACACAGATACTGAAGTTACAATTGGCCATACCAGCTGCTTTTCTTAGCTCTTGTATATACTACTGGACAATATCGTATATTAAAAACTTCCAGGTGGCTAGAACATCATCTGAATAATTTTTGCATCACAAATTGAAATTAAATAATAACTTGGTAGTAACTATAATGCTTCCTTCTAGAAACATTTCACCACATCCACAATAAAAGTTTCAGTAAACGTTTTGAACATATCACTGCAAGGTGTGATTATACCACAATGAAACATAGGTATGTGCAGTTATCAGTTCTGATCCTTTTTTTTATTTTGTCTCTACAATTACAGTTGACTTCAACGGGGCTATTTAGGTGCTGCAAGTTAAATACAGATGTTTGTGGAACTGGAGCCTCAGATCAAAATGGATGTGATTTTCATACATGCACAATCTCTGAGGGGCACAAATGAATACAAAATAATCATCATATATTCAGGATTTTGTATGAGAACTTATTAAAGGAGGAGGAATGGTCTTGTGCTTGAAGCAAAGAGCAAGGAATTGGGTATCTTTGTTCTTTTTCCAGGTTAACCACACATCTCCTACACTACCATAAGCACATAACTACATTATAGAAAATTAAAGAATAAAAAACCACAATCCCAGGTGCCCATTTAAAGACAATTTTGCAAATGCAGTCATTCAAAAGTTAAATAAAAGCAAGAATTAATGTTGCGGCTAGAACCTTAATCTGGCTCCTCTGTGACTATGTATTGTAATTATTTCAATCGCTATTTTTTCCATAGAAAAGCCTAACTCACTGCGTAGTATGCAAGATGCTCAACAAACATGTAGCTATTAAATTTCTTTTTATCTTCCAATACGAGAACTCAGACAGCATTTACTGTATATCATCCAAATCCTGCACTGAATACCAAGAATTCACTTTGTTGTGGGCTTTTCTATGGTGTTTTCATTATATCTTAGTTCCTTACAAATACTAGCCAATTTATTTTCACAGCACTCTTGTGATATTAGATGACAATATCCTCATTTTACACATGGAGAATGGATGAACAGAGATTAAACTGTCAGAAGTGTACATTTATTTTAGGTATCCAATTTAAGAAGCCTAGGCCCTGGCTTTTCAGAGTACATAGCATTATATAGCTCTTTTAGAACAGAGACATCCCCTCTCCATCCCCCCAGTTACAGCTCTAGTGTTTAAAGTACCCAGAAAAGGCATACAAAAATACCTATCTGTGACCATTTTTATTTCAGTCAAACATGAACTCTGTAGCATAGGTAGAATCTCCAAGGCAGCATTCAACCATACCTTAACCATGGTATCATCTTTCTTTTCCTGCAATTCCCTGCTTCATTCTCTAATCTGCAACACATGAAAAAGGGACCTACACAAACAATACTGCCATCCATACTGAACAAAATATGAGTGTTTGTGGAAAAAATAGTACATGATAATATGTAACCCTTCTGCCAGGAACCAGGTTGAGAGTAGCCGTCGGGTCATCGACCTTCGGTGAGATAGGGACTTGTCTATCCCGAGCATGTGAAGACAGACTCCGGCGGATCGAGCGGATGAGACCTACTAGAATAGGACCAACGGTCATGAAGGTGGTTTCTGCAAGCGATGTGGTACGCTAAGAGCACGGCAAGACATGAAAGATGCCCTGGTCAACCACTGCGCCCAGCCCATCTCCAACCGTCTCGACTTTAGTCCTGCCATTGGAGTAAGATGGAATCTGGGAAGAGAGAGTGAGGCTGACTATGCGCACCTCTCCCTCACTTTAATCCAATTCACGCGCAAGTCTTGACATCTCGACATCTCCTAAGTCCTGTGGCGACGGGCGAGCGACGAAGCAGCAGGTGTGGATACACTGGGAGCTGTAGCCGCGGACCTGCACACAGGCGGCTCAGGTCTAATGGTCGTCTTCTTGCTGGTGGAAGCAACAGCTGGATTCGGCGTCTACCTGAGTGACTGAGCAGCCCTCTTTAGGATTGCACTGCTCACCTCCGTAGTAAGAGGAAGGGGCTAGAAAAGGTGCCCTAAACATTGTTTGCTTCACAGAACCCTGGCCAGCTTACCGCGGCTGGAGGGGATCCCATCTCATGCGGTCGAACAATAAAATTTCGAACAAAATGCAAGGTGACACCACTCACTATTGGCACATGGAATGTACGCACGCTTCAGGACAACCCTTCAGCAGACCGCCCAGAAAGAAGAACAGCCCTGGTCGCCAGAGAGCTCACAAGATTTAACATCGATATTGCGGCACTGTGTGAAACTCGTCTAGCAAATGAAGGTCAGCTCATGGAAACAGGAGGTGGTTACACATTCTTCTGGCGTGGACGCAGCAGTGACGAACGTCGTGAATCTGGAGTTGGCTTTGCGGTTAAGAATCATCTTGTCCGCAAACTTGCCAGTCTTCCCAAGGGCGTGAATGACCGACTCATGACACTGCATCTTCCACTACCGAGAGGAAAGCAAGCCACACTGATCAGCGCTTACGCGCCCACAATGACGAATCCGGATGAAGTAAAGGACAAGTTTTATGAAGATCTCGATGCCCTACTCTCATCCGTGAAGCGCACTGACAGGCTGATTCTACTTGGCGATTTCAACGCGAGAGTAGGATCTGATCACACTGCCTGGGATGGCGTCATTGGAAAAAATGGAATCGGTAAATGTAACAGCAATGGCCTACTATTACTGAAGACATGTGCGGCTCATGATTTGATCATCACCAATACCATCTTCCGCCTGCCCACTCGCAAAAAGACGTCCTGGATGCACCCACGCTCTAAGCACTGGCATCTCATTGATTATGTCATTGTGCGGAGGAAAGACAGACAGGATGTAAGGGTGACCAAGGCCATGCCGAGTGCTGACTGTTGGACTGACCACAGACTTATCATCTCCAAATTAAGCTTTCGCATCAAGCCAAAGAGACGTCCGCAGGGAAACAAAGCTGTGATGAAAAAGATCAATGTCAGTAGACTGAGGAACCCCAACACAGCAACTTTACTAGCAGAAGATCTTGGCAACCAACTTTTAGAGCTGCAATTAGAGGAAAATGCTGAGAAGGACTGGGAACGCTTCCGGGATATTGTGCACTCTTCTGCACTAAAGGTTCTTGGACCCTCACACAGGAAACAGCAGGACTGGTTTGATGAAAACGATGAAGAGATCAAGGCCATACTTGCTGAAAAGCATCGCCTTCACCGTGCTCACCAGAATGACCCATCGTCAACAGCTAAGAAAAATGCCTTCAACAACATTCGCAGGATCGTACAGAACAAGCTTCGTAAGATGCAGGACTCCTGGTTGAGTGCCAAAGCAGATGAAATCCAGAAGTTTTCTGATAGAAACGATGCCAAACGGTTCTACGAAGCCCTTAGATCCTTGTATGGACCTCAGCCCTCAGGGAGTTCCCCTCTACTGGACTCAGATGGTGCAACTCTCATTACTGAGAAGGCTCTGATTTTACAGCGTTGGGCTGAGCACTTCCAATCCGTACTGAACCGCCCATCTTCCATCAATAACGAGGCGATTGATAGAATGCCCCAGGCGGATATCAACCACAGCCTGGATGTCTCACCATCAGAGACTGAAACCTTACAGGCCATCAGCCAGCTGTCCAGTGGCAAGGCCCCAGGATCTGATGCGATCCCAGCGGAAGTCTTTAAGGGTGGTGGTGCAGTGCTTGTCGACAAACTCACTCAGCTGTTCCAGTCCTTCTGGAATCAAGGATCTATTCCTCAGGAACTGAAAGACGCGTCCATCGTACACCTCTACAAGAGGAAAGGAAATCGACAAGTTTGCGATAATCATAGAGGAATATCACTGCTTTCCATCGCAGGTAAGATCCTTGCACGAGTGTTGCTGAATCGTCTGATTGACCACCTGGAACAAGGTTTATTACCCGAGACACAGTGCGGTTTCCGCAAAGAGCGTGGCACGGTGGATATGATCTTTGCAGCCTGACAGCTCCAAGAGAAGTGTCAAGAGCAGAATCGTGAACTGTACACCATCTTCGTGGATATCACCAAGGCTTTTGACACTGTCAGTCGCGAAGGTCTGTGGCGCATCATGTCGAAGTTTGGGTGCCCTGACAGATTCATCTTGATGGTACGTCAGTTCCACGAAGGCATGACAGCTCGTGTTCTGGATGATGGAGAAGCTTCAGAGGCCTTTCCCGTCACAAACGGCGTCAAGAAAGGGTGTGTGCTGGCACCGACCTTGTTCAGCATAATGTTTTCAGCCATGCTGTCAGACGCCTTTCAGAACAGTTCCTTGGGAATCAGACTGAGATACAGGACCGATGGGAAACTGTTTAACCTGCGAAGACTCCAGGCTGTCACCAAGATAAAAGAGACTGTGTTACGAGATCTCCTTTTTGCTGATGACTGCGCCCTGAATGCTGGATCAGAGCAGGAAATGCAAGCCAGCATGGACAAATTCGCAGCAGCATGCGACAACTTCGGCCTTCTCATCAACAAAAAGAAAACCGAAGTGATGCACCAGCCAGCTCCAAAAGCTAAACATCAAGTGCCCACCATCACAGTGAAGGGACAAAAGCTGCAAGCAGTGGACCAATTTACATATCTTGGCAGCACCCTCTCCCACTCAGTGACAATTGACATCGAGGTCAACTGCGGAGTCGCCAAGGCAAGCTCTGCATTCGGCAGACTGCTGACCAAAGTGTGGGACCGCCGTGGAATAAGCCTTGCTACAAAGCTTAAAGTCTATCGAGCAGTAGTGTTAACTACCCTGATGTATGCCAGTGAGACTTACAAATATAATCAAAGACTGAATCATAATAAAGTGGATGAAGGGTCCCAAATCACCATAGGGTCGCAGGAAGGGTCTCGGTATGCTGCACATGCCCATAAGCATTCCACCCACACCCACACTTCTCTTAGGAAGCTGAAATCAGGCAAAAGAGGGAAGGAAGTAGCAAGGGCCAGAAAAGTGCAGTCAGCAGACTGTCCTGCACAAAGCTCCATGTTGCCGCTGTCTGGAGACCAAGGGAAGGGAGAGCACTTGCGGGGGAGGGGAGAAAGGAAGAAGTAGTAAATTGAGAACTTGTGGGCACACACAGGGCAGGGATAGGAAGCTGTTTGCTTGCTTACTCCAGCCACTTCATCTGGGCTACCACTGCCCAGATCCCTGGCTCACTTCTAGTGGACAACAGGATATGGCAGGGCTGGGCAAAATTCAGCCTGGGAACTGGATCTGGCCCCCTTAACATTTTGATCTAGGCCGCAGACTGCATCTGGCCACTTTCTATTTATATCCTGCTAACTGTGCCACCCAATTTTCAGGCCGTGGCTCAGGCAGCAGGATCTTATTTAAATGGCTCATAGATCCTGGTCATGGCACTACCCCAGCAGGGGCTGGAGTCAAAAGCCTTTTTTCATTGTTGCTATTTAAACAGCTTCCAGCTCCCAGCACCGCTGCTACCATGTTGCCTGGGAGCCACCCAAAGTTGCTGCAGCTATTTAAAGGGCTCACTGGTTATGGTGCTACCCCAGCAGGGGATGGAGGTGTGAGCCCTTTAAATAACTGCAGCAACCCTGGGCAGCTGCCAGACAATGTAGTAGCAGCTGGGCCAGGATCTGCAAGCCCTTTGGTCTGTTTTTACTTCAAAGACTCCAACCCCAGACTACTCGGGGGGGCGGGGGAGACTAGTCCCCAGCCCAGCCCCTTCTACCATATGCCCCGCCCCTTCCAGAGGTGGAGCTGACCTCTGCCCACGTACTAAAATATACTAAGTGGCCGCCCTGTGAAAATTCTTGCCTGCCCTTGGGATATGGGCAGCAGTAGGGCTGAGCAAGTGGCCAGGGCCAGAAGATAGACAGCAGCCTGGTAGCTATTACAGCCCTGCCACAGAAAGAGAGGAGCCATCTGGAGCTGCAGAAAGAGGCAAGGCTGAAAGAGCAACAGAAAGGGGGATCTAAGCAGAAGATCTGGGGACGGGGATAGGTTGCATGGGGGGGTGGGAACAGGGAGCTGACGGGCTGAGAAAGGGAACAAGGAGGAGGATTAATGGTGGATCCTTAAAAGATAAAATGCAGTCCGTGGGTCTCATTGAGTAGGTAATTTGTGAACCCCTGTCATAATGTGTATGTCCATTGTGCATATACAATCCTAATTTTGCCATTTCCTAGCTTCTGAGGGCTTGGATTTGGAAAGATAATTCATTTTTAATATAGTTTTTGAGATATAATTTCCAGTGCTTATTTTTCAATTTACGTTTTTATTATCATATGAAACAAGACTGATCTCTCAATATGGCTTAGCAGGAAGGTTGGGACATTTAGATCCACAGCATAGTCCTCTGCCACTGGAGGTGAGTAACTGGTAACAGCAGAAAGCTATGTGGACCTGCCACTTGAGGGAAAAGGAGACACACTTTGCCAGCAGATTGCACAGAAAATGAATATGGAGACTCAAGATAACGGAGTTAATTCTAGGGTCTGTAGGGTCAGTGATTACAGACCCATTTCCCCTCCAACATCCTTCCACACCTTTACTTCTATTCTTATTTGCACTTCCTGCCTCTGTACCCCAGTGCTATCCCCCTGGCTCCTGCCAATCCCCTGTCCCTCCTACTACTCCTATCCTCCCAGGCAGTGTAGATGGCACACACTTAATGCAGATAGAATCTTTGCAGAACTTGAAAGCCAAACTCTAACATATCTCTATTAAACATGTGCAACCAGTGATTTGCAAGTCATCCCTGTCCCAAAGTTCAAGTTTATGTTTCAAAGCACAGAGATACTAGTTGAGCATTACGGTGAAAACTCCTCCCTCAAAAAATAAATCTTCCTGAGGCAGAAACCCAGCACAGAAAAGTTCAGCTTGAATGGCTGAAGTATGTCAAAATTATAGATCAGGTGAAAACGTTATAATGGAAAGCATAAAGTAACCTTAACTACAGGCATTGTTATTTGTACCACCTATAACATCACAATGGTAAAAACACTAGAGGCCAGCAGCATCTTGTTTACATCAGTGGTTTCACTGTTGCTGTCACTGGTGAAGATGCATCAGTGTTTGTAAACATTTTGGGGAAAGTGTGATGTAATATGTAGGTAATAACCACTTCAAATATCTAGTTGCAGTATATCCATACAATCACATTTTGCACAAACAGCCATGCATCATCCACTGTGTTTGTGTCTTCACAACTATCACACTGCTCTTTTGTTTGAACAAGGTACTCTGAGGCTACGTCTACACTGCAGTCTTTATCAGTAGAGACAATGCAAATGAAGTGCTCATTAGCATTTCTCGCACTCTCATTTGCTTAGTCTCATCTGATCCATTTTGTGGAAAATGCAGTGTAGACAGCGCAAAAAAATCCTTTTGTGCAAGATCCTCTATACTTGCTTTTTTGAGGAATAAGGGTTCTTGTGCAAAAGGGTTTTTTTGTGCAGAATGGCCCCATCTACACTACTTTTTTGCGCAAAAACCTCTTCCACAAAACAGATCAGAAGAGACTATGCAAATGAGAGCATGAGAAACCATTTGCATTGTCTCTGCCAACAAAAGCTGCAGTGTACACGTAGCCTGAGGGAAAAAATCTGGGTTGATATCCCATAGTGCCCAAGGAAGGAATTAAATGTCCAGGTAAAGTACCAACATCACCTCTTGGGGCAATGCACTCTGGGATGCTGTGCTGCAGAGAGTGGGAGAGAGAAGTATCAAACAGTCTTGTTACTCAAGCATAAATAGCTGCTCCTGCCTAAACATCACAACAGGATGTGATGTTTACTGGATTACAGGAAGATAAAAACCAACCTAGGCTACTGGCAAGGGCAATACATAGTTAACTGTCACCTTATCTCACTGTAACATTCCTCTTTCTAACATATTATGCCACTTCTGAAAAGGAAGTTACACGATAATCATATATCTCCACAAAAGCAGAAACAATCCGTTAGAATCTGTGTCCAGTACTAGTTATGTTTTACCTATCCCGTACACCTGTGTTAAATTGGCCGAATTAAATGTTATCTTTGGTGTCTTAGGCTGCTCAGTATTGGTTTTGCTGGTTTTTATAAGTGCACACATCATAAGCCTTCAGTTTCCATTTGTCAGCTTATAAAAAAGGCTTCCTACTATCTTTGAAGGAAAGGTCATTTGGTGTGAAAATAAACAGATGCATACATAGAAGATCAACTATTGTTTTATATTCATTACAAAGTGAGGTAAGAGTGAAACAAAATCTCCTGTCTTAGTAGTATCAGTATGCATAAAATGAACTGTAATTAAATACGTAAACTTGTCTTACACTTCCTTAGATAGTCAGATTTGTTTTCACTTTTTTAAATTTCATGGATAATTGGAATGCTGGAGTGAACATGACCTGATTTACAAAACCCTTGCAAAGTATTTAGATTCACAAAATTAAAACAATTAGAAAGCAGGTCATATACTAGGACCTTGTTTAAACTATGTTTAGCACCATCTCATTATTCCAAAATATTGCAGAAGTCTAAACCAGGATTAATTTCTTGGAACATTCATAACTAAGGGCTTGATCTTGCAGTAATTCAGTGGGAGTTTTGTCCACACTGAGACTGAATATTGACAGCTGAAAGGATTGACCTCAGCACTATAAAAACCCTGAAGGTCAAATAAATAGTGAACTTCAGCAATAGAAATACAGTGGATCTATACACATTCATAAACCATATTTTCCACCTCTATACAAAATAAATTGCAAAATGACATACATTTAGTAAAATTGTCTGTTAGTCTATTTATATGAATTACGGTTTTTAAAAACACTGAAGACAAAACAATTTGCATGTTATTGAGGCAAATGAGAAAACTAAGCCTTGTAGCGTGTACATCTTCCATATTTACCTTTATTGCATTGATGAGGGTGCCATCCAGTTGTCCAGCCCAAAGATAAGGTCACATCTGGGAAGAATGAAGTTACAGTGTCTAGAAATGTTTTTGCATCCACAACAGCATTACTTCCGTTAGGTCCGGGTAGTATGTCTGCATTAATCCAGACAGGTCGCTTCAGATGCAACTTTATGCCTTCAAGAAGCCTCATAGATGGCTGAACTGCTGCTAAACTATAAAGATAAATGCACAGATTTCTAGTGATATGACAAAAAAAATACGATACATACATACTCTATTGAAACTTGGGTTAGTTTAGGCAATGCTGTTAATCAGCTGCCAGGGACCTCATTTATAAAGCCTCATCCCATTCATATCTAAATTACAAACCTCATGTGGGTAAATCTTATACTGAACTGTTGCATGATATGGATTATTAAATACTTCATTCTCACTGAGAGTTCTAGGGAAGGGCTACTCAACTCTGAAAGGCCCAGGGACCACAATTATACTCACAGTATATGGCGAGGGCTGCACCTTAAGGCTGTGTCTAGACTCAGGGGTTTTTTCGAAAAAAGTAGCCTTTTTTCGAAAAAACTTCACCTGCGTCTAGACTGCAGCCGCATTCTTTCAAAATTAAATCGAAAGAATGCGGCTTTTCTTTCGACGGTGGTAAACCTAATTCCACGAGGAAGAACGCCTTCTTTCGAAAGTGCTCTTTCGAAAGAAGGCGTTCTTGAAAGCAAACAGGCTTTTTAGAAAGAGAGCATCCAGACTCACTGGGTGCTTTCTTTCGAAAAAGCGGCTTGCTTTTTCGAAATTCCGCGTGCAGTCTAGACGCTCTCTTTCGAAAGAGGCTCTTTCGAAAGTATCTTTCGAAAGAGCCTCTTTCGAAAGAGGCTTGCAGTCTAGACATAGCCTAAGTGTGGTTGCATATACATGCAAATATATATGCGAATAGCTTTTCACACTGACGGGCATGAATATAAAAATTAAGGCAAGACTACACAAGACGCAGGTGCCATTTAAGTCAGTTCTGCCGATATTAATAAAATGCAGTATTTACCCAATTTCTACCCATATGACAGCACTTTAAATGAGCAAAGACAATCCAGGGATTTAACTACTAAAACACGTATCAACAGAACTACTTTTTTGTTTTGGCTTCTCAATTTTAACAAATCAAACAAAAAATTGCCAATACAGTACTGGAATTTACTGGAGTATAAGTACAATCAATGGCTACGTCTAGACTACATCCCTTTTTCGTAAAAGGGATGTAAATTAGACGTATCGCAATTGCTAATGAAGCGGGGATTTAAATCTCCCCCGCTTCATTAGCATAAAAATGGTTGCCGCTTTTTTTTCGCACGGAGCTTTGTCGGCAAAGGAGGGTTTTAAGGAGGTATTTTCAGAAGGAGTTGATTTTTGTGGATGCTTACCAGGACCATCTCCCAAATAGGAGGGGCAGCAAGGGAAAAAGCATGAATGTTCTTGTGCGAAAATTTTACAAGTGGAAGATGGAGATAAGCATTATGTGAAGAACTCTTCTGTAAGCCTAGCTACTATCTCTTGGTGAGGTGGATTAATTACAACTACAGAAAAAAAAATCCTTCAGTTGATCTAGAAAGCATCGACATTACAGCAAGTGCAGCACTGTAGCAGCTGTACTATAGACAGCTCAATGTATAAGAAACTTATCTAAACAAAAGGAAAGTATCCTATTGATTCCTAATGAAAGCACGTTATATGCAAGCAGAAAAAAAGCTAAAATATTAACCAAGAAAGAAAACTATATCCATTAAAGATCTAAAACAACTCCTCTTAAGTGAACTGAGTATATATAACAGCATGTTTTTATTACTTAAATAGTAGGTATATTTTAAAAAACACCCAAACCCTTCCTGAACAGAGTGGGAATCTGCTTCAATTATGCCCAGTGTCCAAAGCCAGCATATAAAAAGTGGAACTACATGATCAATCACACTGCTGGCAAAGATTACAGAAATAACCAACAGGAGAAATATACAAAAGGTTCCAGTATATCTCTCCAATATTTGAACAACTGTATCCAAAGAACTACTGTCCAAAAGAGCAGCATCTCTCAGGTTACTCTCCCAGCAGGACATAGAGCCAGCAGCAACAGATTACAGCCAGCCCCCCAAGAGTGGGGCAGACTGGAAGCCTGTGTGTAACCAGGATTATCGGTTAACCGTATATACGGTTATCCTATTACATCCATAGTATGTAGCTAGCAATCAGAAGCAAAGCCACAGTGTGATGGGTTGGATCACACAGGTCCTCTTGGAACTGTCAGCCGGTGTACTGATTATGCCGATACCTATCTTCCTGCCCTCTGGGTACAGTGACCATATTTTCTGAACCAAAATTAGGGACACCTTGGCCACACCCCCTGAAACCATTGGCCACCCCCCTTGCCCCTTACGCCTCACCGATCTGGCACAGGAAGTACCTCTTGACGTCCCTTCCAGTTCTAGTATTCTATGATTCTATGAAATTATTTTTGGGGTCAAGATGAACACATGACCAGAAGTAAAGGGTGTCATGACCCCTCTAAGAACTCCTCCCACCATCCTCTGCCTATAGGGATGGATTTGGACCCCACAGAAGCCCCCCATGCAACTACACTGCAATTGCATTAACCCAGGGTCCAGACCTAGGGTCCCATGACAGTGCAGTGCTATCGGTCAAACCTCGATTCAAGATGAGATCCAAGATCTAAGACCTATTACTCTGCAGTGTAGATGCAGCCCCATTTGACTCAAGAGTCTGGGAATCATCCAGAACTATCCCACAATTTCATGGGACAACTTCCATAGTCCTCTTAATGGATGTTGCCTACTGGTTCCAATTAACTGGTAATCAGAGGGGGCTGGAGCAAATCCCCACCTACTTCAGGAAGGGGGCTGCTCCAGGGTCACAGAGGGCCTGCTGCCAACAGGGGTTGTGCTCATCCAGATCAGCCCCTGTCTCTGGGGAACTCAGGGGCCCCACAGGCACGAACTGCGCCAGTATCCAGAGCAGCCTCTCTCCCTGGGAACTCCAGCTTGCTATGGACAAGGGCAGCTCCAACTGATTAATGGGATTTTACATCCCCAATGAGATGTATTGCAACTGCATTTTTTTGAAGTTACTGCAAAATTATCAAATGTCCTCAATTTCCACAAGTCAGAATGACAATACTGAACCATGACAATTACAGCGTGGAGAAGACCAGGTCACTAACCCTCACTACCACTGGTTGAAAGGTATATTGCCCATGGAGATCAATGGGGCTGGGTTATTTTATATATAAAGCTACTGAGAAATGTATATGTCAATACCATGATGGCAATGCCTATATTATGTAAATAACAGCTAATAATAATTGCCAAATGAGACCACTTCCCGACCTGCTTCCAAAGCGCCTTATCCTATTTAATTTTAAGCTAGGATTGGGTACAAAGCAATCTGTTGATATTACCCAAGAAGATCCAGGCAATATTTAGTCATCCTTCAAAAATATAAGGGACCAATCAGTCAAAGCCCCAGTGCCTGGCAGAGATGATCTTTCAAGATATTTGGAGAAACTTTGAATTTACTTCTGACAACAGTGTTTTCTCTCACTGAATGTGGAGTCTTCAGCACAAATTTCACTTTGTGTCAGAATAACTCAGAAATGTGTTGTCCCAGCTAAGTCCACTCAAGTCTAGGCAATGTGCAGCCCAAAGACAGAACAAATTCCTTTGAAGTTGGAAGTCAAAACATCTCACCTCTTCACATAGCTCACAAAGGGCTTTTTCACCATGACACAACCCTCTCTGGAGAGAGACAATACATCCTGCATCTCTATGGATGCACCAAGTGTCTTCATCTGGCATCTTAACACATTTAAAAAATCATAAACTGCTTAGATGAGGAAGACTCACAAAAAGTCTGCCCATCATCCACACCTAAGTGACAGTGATTTCACCACTATGGTAACAGACCCGATCTCTCTGTGGGCTCTTTTGGAGGAACAGAGAGCATGGGGAGGTCATCTCTGGGGGAGAGACTAAGGGTACCTCTATTTCAGTGATTCTCAACCTTATTGAGCCAGGGGGTCCACAGGCCAATGCAAACTTCTCCATGGACCACCAGTTGCTAATTATAACTCACCATTAATTACATTTCACCTGAGCCATTTTTCTAGTGTTGCAGCTAGAGAGAATGGTTTAATTTAAATTATTAAATAAAGCATTTTGACTCTAACTCAAACTTCATTTTAAGTAAAATAAAATATTAATTTATGTCCAGCACAAAAAGGTTTCAATGTTTTCTTCATTTATCAGCTTCAGAGGGGTAGCTGAGTTAATCTGTTCAGGATAAACTTTAAAAACACGTAGGCTATGTCTAGACTGACATGATTTTCCGCAAATGCTTTTAACGGAAATGTTTTTCCGTTAAAAGCATTTGTAGAAAAGAGCATCTAGATTTGCACGGACGCTTTTCCGCAAAAGCAATCTAGACGCGGTTTTGCGCAAGAAAGCCCCGATCACCATTTTCGCGATCGGGGCTTTTTTGTGCAAAACAATACTGCGCAAAACAATACTGCCAGGGTCTACACTGGCCCTCTTGCGCAAAAGCATTGAGCCTATTATAATGAACTGGACCGCATCCCGGGAGGCCAGGAACCTACGTCTGCACCGGTGCTCGTGGAGACAGGGTTGCACACACGGGTGCAGCAGAGCCGGCAGGAGGTTCCCAGGGAAGATGTGGAGGAGGAGCAGACAGAGGACACCCTGTCCCAGAGACCCAGGAAGCCTCGCAAGCATCCTCTGACGCTGGTGAAGGAACATCAGATGAGTGCAGTCAGGGTCACAGACACAGAACAGGGGAGGTGGGAGCAGAAAGGATGCAGAGCAATGTTCACATCTTGGTCCTCCTGGACAGCTTGCATCTCTCTGTGCATGTGCAAGCAGGCGGACAGGTGTTGGGTATGTGGGTGGAGGCGATATTCTACTCCGTGCTTCATTTGCATAAGCTTTTTTGGAAGATGGCTGCAGTATAGACGTAGCCTTAGTGGTACAGTTGTGTTGCTGTGGCAGTTAGTGAAGACGCTACCTACAACAATGGGAGACCTTCTCCCTACCTCCTGAGGCTAGGTCTACAATGCTGGGGGTGGTGGGGATGGGAGTCGGAGAAAGGTATGCACATCAGAGCGACACCTGTGCCACCACTCACCCGGTTCCACAGCACCTACAGGCACTAGAGGGCCTATAATGACCTCTTGTGGAGGCATGTGGAGGGGATGGAGCACATTGAGGGGGTCATAGCCAAAATGCAGGAGACCATGGCCAAAAGAGCCAGGGACGAGGCGATACTGCCATTACCCTTAAGTTGTCTGCCCTCCCTCCCTCCAGGTTGAAATTTCACCTCCTACCACAGTTATAAACACAGGTTGATAGTTCCAAAAAAAGTTTATTTTTTAACAGTTGTTGAACAATTCTATGTTTTATAACAGTTCCTAATTCTAACTTTACTTGTTAATAAACATTATATTTTTCATATTTAACATGATGTGTGTGTCTTAACTGCTTGGAGGCTGATGCAGGGATGGATTATGGGAGGGAAGGTTTTGGGACAGGGGGGCCCAGGGCCACAGACCCCATTGAAAAAGTTTATTTTTTAACAGTTGTTGAACAATTCTATGTTTTATAACAGTTCCTAATTCTAACTTTACTTGTTAATAAACATTATATTTTTCATATTTAACATGATGTGTGTGTCTTAACTGCTTGGAGGCTGATGCAGGGATGGATTATGGGAGGGAAGGTTTTGGGACAGGGGGGCCCAGGGCCACAGACCCCATTGGGGATACCCTGGGGAGTCACTGGGCTCCAGCTGAGAAGCGTTCATGCAGAGCCTCCTGGATGCGAACCCACACCTGATGGGCTTGGCAAACGGCAGCTGTCTGAGGCTGAGCAAACCGCCTCTCCTTCACTTCAGCCATTGGCCCCCAACCTGGGAGGAAGGCCTCCCCTTTGCTCTCCATCAGGTTGTGGAGGATGCAACATGCTGCCACCACCTCTGGGATATTGTGTTCCCCCATGTCAAGGCAAGTTAGCAGACACCTAAACCTTCCCTTCAGCCGGCCAAATGTGCATTCCACCTGTAAAAGTGCGTGTCAGGTGCGCGTTAAACACTTCCCTGCTAGGGGTCAGATGCCCTGTGTATGGCTTCATAAGCCAGGGCATGAGGGTACGCTGCATAGGCCACAATGCAGACCGGCATCTCTCCATCCCGAATTGTGCATTCCACCTGTAAAAGTGCGTGTCAGGTGCGCGTTAAACACTTCCCTGCTAGGGGTCAGATGCCCTGTGTATGGCTTCATAAGCCAGGGCATGAGGGTACGCTGCATAGGCCACAATGCAGACCGGCATCTCTCCATCCCGAATAGCAAAGGTTCGCTGTGGGAAGAAGGTTCCTGTCTGCAGCCTTTCGTACAGGTGCGAATTGCGGAAGATCCAAGCATCATGTGCCCGGCCTGACCACCCCACACAAAGGTCCATAAATAGTCCATGGTGGTCAACCAGGGCCTGCAGCACAATAGAAAAGTACCCTTTTCTGTTGATATACCGGGCGGCTCGATGGAGTGGTGCACAGATGGGAATGTGTGTTCCATCAAGCGCTCCTCCGCAGTTTGGGAATCCTAGCCCTGCAAAACCGGCCATGATGGTGTCTAGGTCTCCAAGGTGGACAATCCGATTCAGCAGCTCTGAGTTGATGGCCCTCACCACCTGCAAAAATCGACACATACAAACACACACAGATTATGAAGTAAGAGGGGTTGCCTAAGTCCTTTGGCGACCCCCAGTGATTGCTCCTAGTAGTATGATGGTGTAAGCCACAGGAGCCCTCCACCACCTCCCCTCCATTGCCCCACACCCACCCTCTTGGTTACAGTCCCCTTACGGAGCCCCCTCCCCCCCCCCCCAAGTAATTGGTCCCAGTAGTATGATGGTGTAAGGCACAGGAGCCCTCCACCACCTCCCCTCCATTGCCCCCCACCCACCCTTTTTCTGTTACAGTCCCCTTACGGACTGCACCCCCTTCGACCCAAGGGACTTACCTCCATCAATAAAGCACCAACAGTAGATCTCCCCACACCAAACTGGTGTCCCACTGACCGGTAGCTATCAGGAGCGGCCAGCTTCCAGAGGGTAATAGCTACCCTCTTGTCCAGCGGGATGGCAGGGCGCAGGTGGGTATCCTGTCATTTCAGGGTGGGGGCAAGCCAGTTGCAGAGCTCCAGGAAGGTGGACTTCTGCATCTTGACGTTTCGGAGCCAAGCCTGATCATCCCACTGCTCCATTACGAGCCAGTCCCACCAGTCCATACTTGTTTCCATCCTCCAAAATTGCCTCTCCAGGAAAAAGTTCGGAGGCAGGAACAGTGCTGCTGCATTCTGAAGGAGCGGCTCCAGTCTGGGTTCAGCATCCGGACCAGGCATTAACAGCATGAAAGTCTCATGCAGTTGCAGCAGCATTTGAAGCACCGTGGAGCGGGGCCAGCGCCTGCCCAGGGGAAGCTCTCGCTCCATGGCAAACAAAGGTTTGGAAAAACCTCCCCCCCCCCAAAAAAAAAAAAACCCCACTGCTGTGCTGTGCCAGGAAGCAGGGCACTCCAAGCAAGCATTGCAGAAACTTTGCTGTCCCTCTAGGAGATAAGCAAGGCAGCTGCAGCAGCAGAGCAACGGCTAGTCGGGGGGGAGGGGGAGTTCCTTTTAGCACGTTTCTCTGCAAAGGGCAGGCAGCAGCACCAGGAAGTACATGCTGCCCCTGTGACCTGGAAGAAGCAGTTCCGGGTACTTTCTTCTGTCGACAGAGTGTCCTGCAGTCTGGACACTCTCTGTCGACAAAGCAAATAGTTTTGTCTATCTGCTTGATGTAGTCTAGTCAAAACTTCTGTCGACAAAAGCCTGTAGTCTATACGTACCCTAACACAGGAACAGGTACATATACATGAGCACTAAATAGCAGCAAACTGCTGGTGGTGGTGGTGAGTCTGCTGGCCCTTGCAGCCAGGCACTGTGGCTAATCAGGCTACCTGCTGCAGACCAGCTGTACTAATCAGGTTACCCAGAGATGAGCTCTGCTGCAGGTCACGATTCCTGACAAAATGTTCCAGAGTGAATCACAATAGAAACCGTCAAATGCAGTTAAATGGTAGAATGATTAATGGTTTTTGCCATTCGGTGCCCTCTTCAATTAATCTAGGGTGAAAATCTGGACTACACATGATCTTCTCAGTCAAAATTCAATCTGCTCTTCCCTTAGCTTTACATTAGCTGTTTCTTTTAGTATTTTTGGGAGAATTCTGTGCCACTATGCACATACAGAATTCATTCCTGTGAAGAATTTTTTTTTCTCTGAAGAAAATGCATAACTGCAGCAGAATTTCTTTGGACCACCAGAGGCTGCTGTGCTGCCAGAACAGAGAGCATCAGAGCAGCCCCAGCTACAGACAGGAAAGAAAAGAGGTTGTGTTCTTCGTAGTGTCCTGCTCTTGGTGCCAGGTCAGGAGGCCTGGGACATGGGAGGATGGACAGCATGGGACACATGGGTCTGCTGGATGATCTCACAGACTAATGTTCAGAAGGGCTAGTTGGGGAGAGAGATTGGGGTGAGGGCTGAATGGGAATAGTGGTGCAAGGATACATGGGGATGAGGGAGGCGGTTGCACAGGGATACATGGGAACAGCAGCAAATGTGCCCGACTGAATGAGAGAAGCTAGGCATTACACAGGATCTGCATAGAAGAGGCTCTGTAACAAACCTCCCCCCCGCAAAAAAATTCCATATTTCTCCCACCCACACCCAACAACCCTCCAGGCTCTCATCCAGACTCCTTCCCAGCAATTACTTGCCTGTCCATATGCGCCTCTCTTACTCCTGGACTCCCCTCAACCTTTTGTACTATTTCTGAGTGGTATGAGAAATATATATTCCCGTATTGTAGTTTAAATGAATTATTACTCAAAATACTATATTAATATGCCGAATATGAAATCTATTAGTCAAAAAATACTTCTTGAATTTTTTTTATTTTCTGTATTATTACAGACATACTTGCTGACAGATTTTTTGAAATACATTACCAAAATAAATTAAACTGGTCTGATTATGTGTTATTTTTACAACTAAAATATGCAAAACTTTAAAATACTGAGAGTAGACTATTTAAATTTTGGACACTGAATTCTTCCAGAAATACTGTAGTCTGCTTTAAAGATACTGCAAAAGACTTTACCTGTCACTGAAAGGAGTATAACATCTCACCAGTTATAGCAATCATTTTAGGTCACTTTTTTTTTTTTTTTTTTTTGTATTTTGACTACAATGCCTTTTTCCTCGTTGTTCTGCAACCTCGTTGTTGGTCTCAAATTTTACTGAAAAGTTTGTTGATTTTATGATCTGTCTTATCACAAATTTTCTGTATTTTCCCAGTGACTTGGTGCTCACCTGCATCTTTTCCCGTTTTTAATGTTTGTATGGCATCTTTCACTTCCTTTTGTTTTATACGAGATGTTACAATGACTCACGCCAGTTATTTAATGTTTTGTCAAAGTAAAACAATTCTGATGGCATTGGTCTGATTTTTTTAGAGCACTAAACTTTCTGATAACATATTAAATATTCAAAGCACATCTACAAAAGACTTCACTTGCAGCTAGGAGAATTCAAGGTAACAGTCCCTGGGTAGGCTCCCTGTCAAAGACCCTTTTCCAGCCCCCCAAGTACATACACCTTTTAAGGGGCAAGCCTCCATCTCCTGCCCCTCCCTGTGCCTGGTCCCTGCAGTGCCCCCCTCTTGCTGCTTCCTGCCAGCCCCATCCTGTGCCTGCCTGGTCTCTGCTACATTTCCCACCCCATGCACCGCGCCAGCCCCTTCCCTTACCCACCTCCGGCAGCACCCCCCGTCCTCTGTCCGCCTAACCCCTTCCCAGCTACTGCAGCATCCTTCCTGGCCAAAGTAGGGTGGGGGTGTCTTTGCACCGCTACCCTGCACCCAACATCCCCTTTTCCCGTAGCATCCCGCTCAGTGAGCATAGGGCGTAGCCCCCTAATAAAGTTAATAAATGTTCTGTAAACAGAAGTTTGCCCTACTATTAATAAATAACAATAATGCAGAGTCCTTGTGAATCTTTTTACATACCTCTTAAAATCCAGCTTAATGCCTTTTTTAGTGTTTACAATCTCATTTAGCCACTCCTGTAATGTGTTGTCACTGTTTGTTTCAGGAGGATGAGCCATGATTGGTTCACCATTTCCTTCTTCCTCACCACAAAGAAGAATATCTGCTTCTAGCATATGAGCAGCACCTGTTTATTTAAAACATTAATATGATGACATGTCCAGGTCTAACTTTGCAGATTTTGTGTTTGTACATTACATATTACTCACAAAAAACTACATTAAAAGAACATTATAAGGTTACAAAGTCAAGCACTCCAAAGTTAGGAAATGCCAGTATTAAGATTGCCTATGCAATCTTAATTCAACCTCTTTCTACGTATGCATTATGATAGTGTTTAATTATATGATTACGTATTATTTTTTCCATATTCAGTGCACAGGACTGATGGTGCTCACTTGTCTAGATTGCACCTCTTTTCTGTAAAAGGGATGCAAATTAGACACAGCGCAATTGCAAATGAAGCGGGGATTTAAATCTTCCCCGCTTCATTTGCATAAACATGGCTGCCGCTTTTTTCCGGCTCGGGGCTTCGCCGGCAAAAAGCGCCAGTCTAGACGGGGATCTTTCGGAAAATAAAGCCTTTTCCGAAAGATCCCTTATTCCTCTTAAAATCAGGAATAAGAGATCTTTTGGAAAAGGCTTTATTTTCCGAAAGATCCCCGTCTAGACTGGCGCTTTTTGCCGGCGAAGCCCCGAGCCGGAAAAAAGCGGCAGCCATGTTTATGCAAATGAAGCGGGGAAGATTTAAATCCCCGCTTCATTTGCAATTGCGCTGTGTCTAATTTGCATCCCTTTTACAGAAAAGAGGTGCAATCTAGACACAGCCTTGATGAACAGCTATTCAATATTTAGCTATATCCCCATTGTGCTACATGTGACCCTAGTCTTTATTTACTTCACACTATCCAACTGTACTCTGAATATGGGCTTTTCTACAGGACTCATCACTACAAAATCCAAATGCTTCACAAACATTAACTGATTTATCTTAACACTCCTGTCAAGTGACAGAGGTGGATTACGCACACTTTAAAGTGCAGAGCTGAGGTAGAGATAAATTAAGTCAAAAGTGTCCACCAATGCTGGGTGTCCAATTTGAGATGCCTAAGATCTGATTTTTCATAGTAGCAAGGATTTATATGTTCAAAGCACAGCATTCATGTACTTCAGTTACAGTTGTGAATGTGCAACACTTCCACAAGTCAAACCATAGGGTTTCAAGTTAGCCACCCAGAAGTAAGGAGCACACAATTAATGGCCACCTGTGAATGGTAAGATTTAAACAATTTGGAGGAGCACTTTAACTGGAACACTTTACTTAAGAAAAAGGAAAACCTATAGCTGAATACACACTTTGGTATATAAAAAGGATAAAAGGTGTGGTAAGCACTAATCAACCCAAATGGTTGGAATGGAGTGCATGGTATAGAAGTCACAGCAGGTGTGTTTAGTTTATTTTGGTTTAGTAACTTACTTTGATCTGTCTGTTTTCACTTGTAATCACTTAAATGTTACTTTTTATTCTACATAAAAATACTTTTGTTTGTTATCAAGCTCAGTGAAAATAATTGTTACCTGAAGGAGAGCAACCACTGGGCCTATCTCTCTTCCACTGATAAAGAGGGTGAATTTATAAATTTTCTCTGTGTAAAATTTTCATTCGGCATAAGATTATTTATTTGGGGTTTTGGTCCTTGTCAAAAATACACAAAGAGTACTTACTTTGAATTGCTTCTTTCATTTGTGACTTATTGTTTGCTGCATGGTACCAGATGATTTCTGCTCCATCTTTGGTTTTAATCTGGTTAGTATTCAGAAAATAATCCAATATATTTTCACTCCAAGCTCCTATGTCAATAATAATATATAAAGTAAGTACTCCATACACGAAGAAAAGTTTTAAGTAATTTCTTACCATTGCAACGGAAAAAAGAAAGATATTGGGCAAGAGTAACCAGATGCCTTTCCAAACCTGCTCTAAAAACGTAATCTACACAATACATGAAGTCCAAATTAGGGATGTAAAAACCCATTTACAGTGTTAACCTATTAAACTATTAAACCAGTGAGCTGGCATGCCATGTTGCATGTGGGAGGATGGGGGGGGCAACTGGAGCAGCCCTGCAGGGCAGTGGGCCCAGCTGGGCTGGAGCAGCCCCCTGTCTGCAGCTGCTGCCCCTCGCTACAGGCTCCAGCCCAACCAGGCACCAGTTAATTGGTTACCCCAGTAAGCATGCCGGTAAGGTAATGCTTATTGGGTAACCCTTTACATCCTTAGTCCAAATTCAAATTCTTCCTGGGGATTTAGTTTACTAGTTAAAAAAAAAAAAAGATAAAAATCTCCTAGTCTTGGCTGTTCTTAAGGTTATCCCCAAAAGACTACTGAAGAGGAATGGTGAGGAGGGATAGAGAGGAATTGGAGGATATATCCCTGAAAGATAGTACTCAACCTCTAAACATATGGGCTACGTCTACACTGGCATGATTTTCCAAAAATGTTTTTAACGGAAAAGTTTTCCGTTAAAAGCATTTTCGGAAAAGCACGTCTAGATTGGCAGGATGCTTTTCCGCAAAAGCACTTTTTGCGGAAAAGCATCCGTGGCCAATCTAGACGCGGTTTTCCGCAAAAAAGCCCCGATCGCCATTTTCGTGATCGGGGCTTTTTTGCGGAAAACACTACTGTGCTGTTTACACTGGCCAAAAGTCTTTCGGAAAAAGACTTTTGCCCAAACGGGAGCAGCATAGTATTTCCAGAAAAGCACTGACGATCTTACATGAGATCATCAGTGCTTTTCCGGAAATTCAAGCGGCCAGTGTAGACAGCTAGCAAGTTTTTCTGCAAAATCAGATGATTTTGCGGAAAAACTTGCCAGTCTAGACACAGCCATGCCGTCATACTTTAGTCATTTCTTTTCCAAGATGAAAAGGCCAGTCTTTAATTTCTCCTCACTTCGAAGCTGTTCATTACTCCTAATTATTTGTTGCCCTATTCTTTTTCCAAATTAGGGATGTAAAAGGTTAACCATTAACCAGTTACCTGGTAAGCATTAGGCTTACTGGAATGCTTCCCAGTTTCATTTTGTGGGACAGGCGGGCTCTAACCCCTGCTGGATCAGAGGCAGCAAGGGTAGGGGGAGACAGGAGCCAGTGCCATGAGGAGCCAGCTTTTAAGCCAGCTCCCCACAAACACTGTATCAGCGGCAGCAACATGGAGGGTGAGGGGGGACAGGTGGAAGCCAAAACGTGTGGGGAGCTGGCTTCCAAGACAGCTCTCCGCACGTGCCGGCTGTGCAGAGCTGCCTGGCCCCATCTTGCTGCTTAAGGCCAGGGAAGCTGCCCTGGAGCAGCTTCTGTCTGCAGGGAGCTTGCACCTTGTAGCCTTGTAATTGTGTAGGTAATAATTGTGTAGGTTATAATGAATGTATGTTATAGCATAAGGTTTGGATTAAACTTAAACACAAGATGTAGGCCTCAGACACGCCAGGCAGCTTTGTTAACTTATCTCCAGCTCTGTTTGATGTTAGCATGTTCTGATATTAAAGTGAAGGGATAAAATAATGTAATGCATAGTGATGTCAGTATTAGAGAAAGCCTTGTAATAGAAAGAAGTTTAATATTGAAAGACTTTGTAACTTTGTTAAAGTGACCAGAAGTACCCTTTTGTCCCATGCTAAAATTGTGTAAATGTATTATTTGTGTGAATGAGAGAGAGAATGTTTTAGGAGAGATAAGTGTGAAAGCCACTGCACACCCAAATGGTCAGAGGAGGGGCTGGAGACTCAGAAACACCAAATAATTATCAACTAAGCTAAAGCACACTGAAGACACAAACTGGATCTAGGCAGATTGATGAGCCCTGAAGTTAGTGGCAAGCACCCCTTGATAGGGAGCCAATAACAAATTTTGCCAGAAGACAACACCCAGGAGGGGTCATCAGCATACTGATATCAGATGACTGTCAAAACAACCTCCAGATAAAACATATGTCGCAGAAAAACTGATTTGTGATGCTCAACAACTGACTAAGGCCTGACAAAGCAAAATGCATAGACTCGCATGGAAGAAAAATCCTATAAAGAATGAGGTGTCTTGTATGGTTCTTCAGATTCTGTCCTGCTAAGTCTATGGAGCATCAGTCCAGACTGACAAGAACCTGGCTCCTTCCTCGCACCCAACCTCTCTGGCCAATAGGTTGAGCCGAGCAACAGACTGGTAACTATTCCATCAGCAAGGCATGCGTGTATGTGTGTGTATGAATGCATATGCTATTTTGTTATATTATCAATAAATGCGGTGTGTTGCCTTATACCCCTGAAAAAAATCCCGTGTACTTCTTTTAAGCGTAACAACCCCCCTGTGAACAGGGTTGGTGCCATGGAGTGGCTTCTGTTTGCGGTGGACCCTGGCTCACTGAGGACAGAGACTCCTCTGTGGGATGCTGGTGCAGCCTCTGTCCCCAGGAAGCTTAGCCCACTGTGGGCAGGAGCTGCTGCTGCCCCACACTACTGCCTCTGTATCGCTGGCTGCCAGCCTTGCCCCTAGGGACTATCAAATAGTTATGTAACTGCTAAAATGTAATGTGGTTATACAATTATTCAATTACACAGCATCTAACATCCCTATCCACCCAAGTTGTGTCAGAGAGGCAGAGGCTAAGCACACGGCTAACTGTTCAAATGACTAATATTTTAGTCATTTAGCCAGCTGACTATTTAAACTCTTTTGTACATCCCTGTTCCAAATCATCAATATATTTAATTAATTGGGACGACCAGATCTGCATGCAGTATTCAAGATGTGGGCATACCATGACTTTACATCAAGACAATATTATATTTTCTGCTTTATCATCTATTTCTTTCCTAACAATTCCAAATATTCTATTAGATTTTTTATTGCCACTGAAGACTGAGCAGATGTTTTCAGGGAACTATCAATAATGATTCCAAGATCTCTTTCTTGAGTGGTAACAGCTATTTTACACTCCATCATTTTTGTATGTATAATTGGGATTATATTTTTCCACTTGCTTTACTCTGCATACATCAACAATAAATTCCATCTACCCTTGTGTTGCCCAACAACTCAGTTCAGTGAGACTCCTTTGTAAATCTCTGCAGTCAGCTTTGGATTTAATATTTTAAGTAATTTTGTATAATCTGCAAATTTTGCCATTTCACTGTTTACCACTTTTCCAGGATCTTTTAGGAGTAAATTGAATAGGTTCAAATGCAGATCCATGGATTATACCACTATTCATTCATGTACATCTAAGGATCCTTCAATTACTTGAATGACAAGCCTTTTGTTATCTTAATCACTCTGCTTCCCTCTGTTTATAAACAAACTCCCTGCCCAAAAGGTAAAGCTGGGAGCAGGGCAAGCTCTGATGCAGTTAAGAGCTGTCTCTGGAGCTAGGGCAAGTGCTTTAAGCCAGTGGTTCCCAGCCTTTTTTAATACCAGGGACAAGCAAACCCATTTACAAACTTTTGGTGGACTGGTAACATTTTATTTGCAGATTCATATTTTGTTATCAGTCCACCAAAAGCTTTGGCCCCCAGAGCCATCTGTAACCCCTAGAGCCCCCATCCCTCCACTACCCCCCAGCACCAGCCACTGCCCCCAGCCCCCC